ATATTTAAATGCTTCTTTTTATATTAAAAAAAATCCATTTATTACATTCTCTTTTTTTTTAAACCTGGGCTATATATAATTAAGCAAAAATAGTGAGAAAGGGAGAATTAAAGGTGGGGAGAACAGTGACTGAACAAGCGTGAATTTCAGCTGCTTTTTTCAAAGTCTTTTGCGAGTTCTGACTTGGTGCTCACTCAGGCGGCGGGATACTGGCTATGCTCTAGGTCTAACACATAACGTTGATGAGAGCGCTTGTCCTGTCGCTCCTTTTTTACAGGGATTTTTCACGGTGAGACAGTGACACGGCACAGCACTCTGCGAGAAGCAAAAAGGAGTCGCCATCAATGGCCACTTGCTGCACTGCACGACCTGATCAGAGGTATTTTGACAAGGCAGGGCAGAGAAGCACATGGCTGGAGGCTTGGATCGGCTGCTAACCCAGATAACGGGAGTCCAGAATATCTTGTGCCATCTCACAACACGAACAACTTTTCCTGCGGACGTAGCGATGACCCAGATAGGGCACACGTATGAAACAGCTGGGCTGCATACTGTGTTTAATCATATTTGAACATATGCATGTTCATAACATCGTTAATAATAATTTAAACTGTTCGGAGAAAAATGTCCCCGCTTCCCCTTAGAAGACAATGAGGAGTCCGTCTCAGAAGATTAAAAAAAACGTTATTTCATGCGCATGGGAGCGAAACATGCTCGGTGTATTTTTCTCTAGGTTATTTAACTACAGCAGTCCCTAAATATTTTTCTGTTACCTATCACCTGTGCGTACAACGGTGTTTCAAAATCACGTACATCTTCCCACCTCCCTATTTGCCTCCCTATAACTTCTTTTAATACAATTGGTTACTTAGGTTCGCAGCACCCATTCCTATATAAAAGTATAGAATTACACAGCAGCCCTTGTGTCCAGCATTCTCCCAATCCAGTTCAACCCAGTTCTGAATGTCCCCCCCTATAAAATAGTGCATCTTCTGCAGGAAAAGTGTGTGCAAAGTTCACAGAGACCCTCTCAACAAAATAAATGCTTTCATTCCCGATGAAAAGAAGTAAAGTACTGCTCAATCCAGTTGCTTCCTCATGGCTTGCTGCTTTGTCTACTATCATACTACTACACATATGGTATATACTGTACTGTATGTATACTATTAGAAGTCAAAGTAACATAGCCCATGCCAGCCTTCAGGAAGAAAGAGATGAACATTTCTTGGCTATTGGCAGAGAAGGGTACAGGTCTGGAGCAATTCATTTCACTAGCCTGAGCGCCATGCCAAAGTCTTCACAAGGCAGGACACTGGGGACCCTGCTGCTCTTTTAGATGTTCTCCTGGACATTAATCATTGTCACTCTGGTTTCCGAGGCTGTATGACAAAACTTCATGTGACCTCTGCAGAGCACACTGGAACTGCGCGCAGCATTCGAAAGCAAGACGACAAACCCCTGTCTCGTTACAGTGACGGTTCTGGAATACAGCTAGGAGAGGAAGGCACAGCAAAACTTTTAAACGTTTGCACTTTAAGAAAGAATTGCCCCTCCCCAAAGATACTGAGGTAAAGCCAGTGGAATTTTCCCACTGAAAAGATAAATCTTTTCACCCACAAACATTATCTTCCAGCCTTTAAAATCTTAGTGGCAGCAATCTTTGTTTTACACCACCTACAAAAGTAATTATATTGATTTATTTAAGAAAAATACATGAACACCTCCCATCATAATTAAAAAGAAAAATGCTACGTCTGCTTGTGAGGCTCTCAGAAGGTAGAAAGACCAGTAATTTTATTGGATACATAGGTTTTAGCCTGGTGTCATCAAATTAAGATGAAGGAACAGTCAGTTTATACTGGGAGGTCCTAATGGAAAAAGTGCACCCTCTGCAAAATACAACAGATAGACGTGTCGTCTTCATAATCATCTTCCTCGAACTGCTTGTATCTTCTTTCAGGATGAGTGTGGTTTCAGGGGGTTGGGTGGTGGTATTCCGTTTTCAGGGGAGGGCTGTTTTCAATCATTAGTTTAAAAAAAATGCAGCATGCAAATTTCCAGCCCGAGCTGGTATTGCGAAAACATTTTTTTTGTGCCTTTTTTACACGTTCGGTACTGATGCTCCATGATAAAAATTGCCTGGCCACATGGGACGTGCTTCCCGCTTTTGGCACTGGCCGGAGCTCGCCAGTTTTATCATGCACACTAAGAGGAAGAAATAATCAATTCCCTCGCCAGCACTTTACACTGAATACCTACTTTTTCAGGCTGATAGCGAGGCTAAATTAGTTATTTAGCGGCCAGACCCTCATTTAAAGTGAGCAAATGCCTCGGCAGGGCTCATCGTTCAAGCCCTCTTCCCTCGCCCCTTCAGTGGGAGGTCGGGAAAATCCCTGGAAGGTGATAAATAGACAATTAGGAAACAGATCAATTGTGTGTGATCTGCCAGGCTCCTGGTGCTCTGCTGGCCCGCGAGGCTTCAAACAAGGGGCCTGCAAATTGGTGGGCAATAAAAGCCAGCTGCACCATCATCAGTTCTCTGGACGGGAAGCCATATGTGGCCGGTCTCGGGGACGCGTGGGGTTCCTGAAGAATGAGAGGCACTAAAACTACGCTGCCCGCTTCGCCGTCATCAGCTGCGAAGGAAACCCCCATTGGGGATAAAGAAGCTGAGTGAGCGCTTCTTATTTAACTGACTGGCCCTCCTGGCCGGGATCGAAATGGCCGCAGGAAAACTCTTGTTTGAAAACTTCTCCGGCTCGCGTCTTCCGTGTTTGTGCCACTCCTGCGCCACCTGCGTTTTGTCCTCAGCTCTTACAGCAGCAGTGGCTTTATTTCTGTGAGGCTCATCTTAAAAGTCTGGATAGATCATCCGGGACAGTAAATTAGGAAGGAATTGATAGTAACAGCCCCTTAGAATCGTGAATAGAGCTCTTACTGAAAACAAGACAAGAGGGCTTTTTTTCCCTCTACCTCTTTCTAGGCCTTATAGAAACCTGGACCTCTGATCTTTGGATTGTATCTGAGTGGAGCAGGCCCTAGGACTCCCTCTTTCAAAATGGAAACGTGGCTGTGACATTACTCTTCCTCTGTTACGTAAAGTACTTTCCTCTACTAGCTCCTAAAAACACCATGCTGTATAAATGTGTGCTCTTCCAATTGTCATTTTAATTGACATCTTACCGGGGTAAAGGATTATCATTTGCATATATGTTATAAACTCTTTACCCGTTTAATCTAGTCCTGATTAAATTCTCTCTAATCCTCACAGCCCGTTTGTTGAATTTAACATTCTGTCTCATTCTAAATTGATGGTTTGCTCAATAAATTATAAGTGGTGCATTTTTGTATACCTCAGCTGTGATCTAGTATATTCCGTTAAATGCTGTTGTATTCTTTGTGTGTGTACATTATATTAGAATGTGCTCTGTTTTAGGTTTTTGTTGAAAGTAATGAGAAATTTAGTCTTTTGTGTACGACTACTATTTAAAATCCGGTTATTAATCTTATAAGGGTTACAAATATGAGGAGGCTTATTTAGCTTGTTTTGTTTACTTATCCTGGCATTTTGGTATTGCTTGCATACTTAACATGTTTTCTAATTAGGCCAGAACCTAGACAATTTAAATAAATGAGGTAGAATGATAGTTTTAATACAGACACTTGATAATCACAGATAATCCGTGAATACTCCGTTTTCAACCCATTAACCAGTTCACAATCCTAACTAGCACAATTCCCTGAAACTCTCCCCTTTTCCCTATTTACTTTGGAACAAACCGTTAAAGATTAGAGTTGAAAATGAAAAGTTAAAGGGAAAGATAACTGCAGTGTTACGTTTTCCATTATATCCACATGCTGTTAGAAAAACTAGTACAAAAGATGCCTGTGTTATACCTATAAATAGAGGACCCCAGTCCTGTATTTCAAGGACTGAGCAATAATCTTAAACAGATTTCAACTTTAGGAAAAAATCTGGATCTTTATAATACCAACAAAGCTCTGGGCCAGCTAGTCCTCTTTGTTAACTCGTATCATTAACACTGCAACAGCAAGCAAACAGGGAAAGTGCCTATCCGAGGGTGTCACCCTGCTCCGATGACGCCTGCTGAGAGGGGGCGAGTGAAATGCTGGGGTATGAATGGAGTAGAGGGGCCAGTGTGGGCAGGTGAGAAGGCAGCAGGTTTCTGACAGGTAGCGGCTGTTCTTCAGTTCCTCGGTGCTCCTGCACCACCTCTGCCAGCAGGAGCCATTATTACAGAAGGACGTTTGTTCCAGAGAGGAAGATGTGGACGAAAAAGAGAAGAGCATCTGAAGAACGGAAGCATAGAGCTAATTTAGAACAAACGGAAACGTGCCTTTCGGTTGGATCTGTAACATCGCCCTGGCTGTTCCAAAACAGAACTACACTGGTGTTCTACAATATGTGTTATAATTGCCATTTGCCATTTGCATCTGATCAAAAGTCAGTTAATTAGCATCAGCATTACGTGGCCCATCCTTCAGAGTACTGGCTGTAGTCAAATTCAGCTGGATGCGTGGTGGAGAGCCATGTGAGTACTACCGATGGTTAGATTATCAAAGCAGCTAAATGAGACTGCACCAAAATGAGGCAGTAATTTTAATCAACCTCATTTTACTGGACATAAAGTTTAACTCTGGTAGTCACAGCTGTGACTTACTTAACGAGCCACATAAATCCTTCTTAAAGAGCAGACAGAAGCAAAGTTATGCAAATGAAAGCCTGCCCATATGGGAAGGAGATGTGCATTTCTTGTGCAGTGCCCACAATATGGTTATGCATTGGCCAAAAGCTGCAAGTGGAATTCTAAATGGCCTTAAGAGTTAACAGACCACAGATTCCTGTTAGTAAACAATTGCAACAGACTATACATTTATTCAGTTAAAAATACATGATCTCTCTTTAGTTAACCCAGCTTAAAAAAAAAAGAATAAACAGTAACAAACACTTTAGAACATAGAAAACAAGACATACAATCTAACACGAAAACAACAAAGGTTTTTATACTTTATGGTGTAATGCTGAAGTGATACAATATATGGGGAAGGTCACTTTAGAATGTAATGCAGAGCTTTGCACTGATGTGCTACAGTTCGTCCTCACAAGACTCCTGTCATACTTTGGAACTGGACAGTATATCTTCCACTAAATGCTTGTAGACCCAGGCGTCTCCCTTGAGTCTCTGCCTCCGGATCCCCACCACCTCTGGCTTGCTCAGCTGACACACTTCCAGCTCGAACTGCATGGTGACTTTGCCAAAGTCAGACTGGGTTTTACACTTCAAGGTGTAGCTGCGGTGCAGAAAAAAAAAGAGCAGAGACAAGGCATAAATGACCTGGGTCTATCCCATTTCAAACTTCCCGTTTTAACTTTCTGAATTCTGCATGATTTCTGCTTTATGTAGCTGATTTTTGGAACTGCAAAGGCCAAGTTTCAGAACGCCTTACTGTCAACCCTCATATTGTCACATTCTCTGACAGGAGAGAAGAAAAGAACATGCAAACACCCTGCAAAATGCACACCATCAAGCCCTTCAATTCTCTTCATTCTGCACATCCACAACGCAAGAAGCAGGTTTAAGGTAAATGTCTTGCTGATAAAACTGCCAGCTCACAGGAGCGCTGTTAGTTACAGGGAGGAACTCTGAAAAAAGAATTGTATTAATACATTGACTTTATGATTTTTACATACTGTTTCATCAAAACTCCATGAAAATGGCAATCTGGCCCAGATCACATTCGATACCACAATTTTAGATACAAGGTGAAAGGCTGAATTTCCAGTTTGATTAATAAATTATCATTGGTTGCTGTATAGCTATGGATGTGAATCCTACCAAATCGTATCTAATGTAGTTAAATGATTAATTCAAATTTGGGACAGAGGAGTCACACAACCAATGCCAAATTAGTTTTAGATAACCTTTAGTGCTTTCACTTATGAAATGATCTGACATTGGAAAATAATTCAGTGGGAATCCACTCACCCTTTCTGTACAAAGTCGACATTCTTCTCAGGGAGGATGCTGATGATCTGATTCAAGACTTGATCTGCGTTTAGCTGGCTTGTTAACGTCACATTGTACTGTGCCTTATAAAGGGAAATACGGAAAATGAAATCAATGCTGCTGAAGAGCGATGCACATGAGGCACTTGTAGGCAGCAGTGTGTAACTGAACAAATACATGAGAAATCACAGCACAAAAGTTGTATTGTTGAATAATTTAAGTATGGGGGTAAAAAAATAATTCTGAAGTCTACCCCAATTTCCAAGAGAAGTTAACAGAAATGGCATGGAAGACAAACGAACAGCGTGGCAATAAAGGAGCAGGATTTCTGACCATGGGTTAGCGCTCCAGGGCAGGGGCACAGCCTTTCACTGAACTTTCATTGGCTTTGTTCAAACTACTCCTTACATACTACAAGAGCAAATGTTCAGCAGCTGGGTCAGTTAATCCCTTCAGAGGAAATTATACTGTTACAGAAAATGCCAACATTACCTGCTCCAGTCTAAACCAATCAAGAACCGGGCACCTTCATGGAGACATTAAGCATCGGTTCTTTAAACCATATGTGCCATTAAAACTATTTAAAGAACGTGTATACTCTAGGGTGTGTCTAATGAGGTATTTGGTGAAAAGGAGGCACACGAATCAAAATTAAAATGCCAACAGAACTCAGAACTCGGTCTGCAAAGCTCTGGACTACATCAGAGGAGCACCATTTGAGACCCTGACACATGTAGTCCTCAAGAACTAGACATGTGCTGCAAGATACGGTATATCAGAGCCTGGCTGGACAGAGATCTCTCTGTTCTAGAGCATAGTCATGGTAAATAAATGTACAGAGAGTAACCAGCAATATACAGTACTTCAACAGGCCCCAGTCCTGGTCGTGCAGGACTGGTGTGTCTATAAGGTTTTCAGTGCAGCTGACGTCATAACTACCTGAATCAGCCCGTTACTGAACCAGTTTAACAGTTTTCCCCAGCTCTTCAGGTGCTGCAGCTTTAACAGACCTGGACGCTAACCCTCCAAGAACAGGATTGAATAAAATGGTGATATACAATACATGGTGATAAAATGCTAAACAAATTATTTTGAATATTTGCAAAAGAAAAACTAAAAAATCCTTACTAAAAGCTAGAGGATTTATCAGGTGATGAGAGGCAAAAAACTTAAAATGTCACAATCGCAAAACAGTCTGTTATTAAATGACATATAGAATATACTGTAGATAGTGGTTTTATTTACAACAGGGCTCAGCCCTACTATGTTCTCATTGTATGTTTCCACTTGAAGAGGTCACTCTTATTTAATCACAGAAGGAAATGTTAGCATACAACAACAGTCCCAAGCTTCAATGTCACCACAGACATCCCTAACAAAAGTATCAGTTTTTCATTGCCGATTTAGAGAACACAATATAACAACTAAGATATAACTTCAATTGAGGTGATATTTAGTTAGGAATGAATAGTGGTCAGCACAGCACTTACAAGAAAAGTGTAAAAAGACAGAGCAAATTATGTTCCTTAGATTAACAGACGATGGAATTAATATGGTTTATCGTGTAAACGAATGATCATGGACTCAAGTCATCCAGGTAGGAATGAGATAGCATGGAAAAGCTGAACTGAAGCTTTAATAGAGCAGATTTCTAGGAGCCAACTTTGTTTGAAATCATAGAAGATAAGAACCAGTTACAGAACAAAGAGACTTGCTCCTGCCTAGTTAAGTTAAACTCCCTCATCCATGGATGTGTTTAAAAACAGGTTTCCAGGCAGGGCTCCCTGAAGGCATAGGCTCCAGCATTGCCACGACACTCATCAGTATAAGCAGCTTAAAGATAATGGATGGATATTTAAAATTTCCCAAATACTCCCTAAGGAAAACCCCAGCAAATTTGTTTTGGATCCATGCTTGTTGGGAAAGAAAAAAAAAATGCAGTTTCTAACCTTGATTCTGCGAGGTCCATCCCTGGACCCTCTCTTCTTGCTGGGGGTCAGCATGGTGATCATCTTGTCCAAGCCCCTCTCTAGACTCCCAAACACCTTTGTGCCTTTTCTCTTCTGGGCGCTGTCCACCTGAGCCTGGATCACCTCTATCTCCAGGGAGCGCGACCTGGGGATCGGAACACACCCATTGGAGGAGACAGAAACACACCGGGTTCAGGCAGGTAGGAGAAGCCCGTGCCCAGATTTGATCAGGTTTTATGAAACTGAGTTGTCAAGGAAGATGTACAAATAGAGGTTCTCACTCTTAGAACTGAAGAAATAGTCGCATATTTTTAAACAACAAATCCATCCACCCAGCATAAAAAAAGACATTGGATGATCACACAAATTGTGCACTGCTATTTTGTACTTAATTTGATAATAATTATAATATATAATAATTTGGAACAGTAGGTTCATCCCTGGTCCTAGTGGAACACCGTCTTATGGTTTTTGTTCCAGAGTCCTTAATCAAATTGATTTCAGCTTTGTGTTGGGGGCATACATGTAAATCTGCTTTCAGTTCTTAAAGGTGATATGGGATTTGTAATTGGTTTCAACCTTGTGAGTTTCAGATCCCCTCATCCAGGCGTATTTCCTGAAATGAACTGATTGCTGAAGAAAGAAAAAAAATGCTTATTGTGATTAGGTCTGATATGGTGTCATTCCCATCTCTGTTCATCACTAGTTGACCAACTAGAAAGAGCTAAATAGTCAGAAACAACAGCAAGCAAACTGAGAGGCAGTGAAAGTTCTGAGTGCAGAAACAGGACTGTTGAAGTAGTAGTTTTCAACATTTGGCACTGACTGGAGAAACAAGTTAGGTAAAATTAAGCAGATCAGATACCACTGGAGATACAGAGGTCAGCAGGAATGAAAACCCGGCAACACACAGTTCTTGCAGGACAATGGATCAGGAACCACTGACTTAGAGTACTAGGTCTTGACAGTACCTACACAAATACATTACAAAACAGGCAGTGCAGCAATGAACTTTAGCTAGACATGAAAGCACTTCACATTACAGATCAGATCTCTGTATAGAATCCCCTCAAATAAAATGACTGACAGAACAGATTGAAGTCTGTGGACTTAAATATATCTAAAAAAACACCTTTCAGACGATTTGATATGCTCCCAATGGAATCTGGTTTACCCGGATGTCTTCAGTGGAAAACCAGGACAAGAAGATTTGTTCATCATTAACTTAGTGACTCTTCACCCAGTCCCCTGTGAAGGTCTGGTTCAGCTCTTTAAAATTAGACTGTCGGTCTTAAATTAGCACACTTTAGATACTGCACCTCATCACAAATGCACAGCTCAGTTAACTCAGAAGGGAAAGACAGCTGAACTGATATATGGTTCCACCTTCTACTGTATGTGAACGACCAGACCTTATCAAACAGATCTGCATTACTGTTTGAGCATTAAAACTATAATGTCTTATCAGTATCTGAACTGATTTTAAGAAAAGTCTCCAAAATATTCATGAACTATAAACATGATGGCTTGTGATAGTGTAAATTATCGTCCTCTTTTTTTACCCATTTCAAAATGACCTCCAGTCTTTATTTCTGCTAACTCATGGTGCTGAAATTTCATTGGACAGTTGGAGGAAACATGGCGTTCATACTGTACCTCCGCTCCGGGCTGAAGGACATGAGTGTGAGCTCTTCTACTGCCACGGGGTCTGGACATTTCTTTGTGGGGGCCTCCTTGTCACCGCTGCTACTGCTTACTGGTACAAGAACACAGGACATCCTCAGATCAGCAGTTTCATTACCTGTGGTCACTGTTGACCAACCTCACGCACCAGCTGTCAGCAGTGTTAAAAAATAACAGCAACCATTGAATAAACAACACAAGGAAAGGAGTAGGGTTCTTCTAAGTTAATACCAAAGCTATTAGAGATGACTATCTGGTAGCAGTACAATTCTTGTCACCCCCAATCAACCGTGTCTCTGATGAGCGTTGTTCAAGAGTGTTTGTCATCTTTACTTACTACTCATAACTGTGGAGAAAATATCAACAGGCTTGGTCACTTTTTGATATGGGGGTGCGTGACAGGTATCCAGGACATGCTGTGGTTTCCAATGATTCTGGGTTTCGTTCTAAATCAATCAAAATCCAGCTGAATAAATAAACGAGCGACTGCAAGATTTCAATTTCTTTCAAATTACGGACGCAATATAACCAAAATATCAGGCAAACAGGCATAAGACCTCCACAGTGCAAGAACTAACTACAGCCGATGCCGAGAAGGCAGTGTGACCCCTCTTCCAGTTAAAGGCCCCTTGAACTGGTTAGAGCAACTGTGGCTTGAGTTTGAATTTTGTATCTCTGCAGATATACAAATCCCTTTTATCATTTCTCATTAGTCATTAGAAGGAACAGAAAGCTTTACAAGCAAGGAGGCTTTAAAGGGAAGTTCCTGAACTCTGTGCTCTTCCAGACCCACACCTGCATCCCTGTGCACAAACTTACATGTTCGAAAAGGAACAATCAATTTCCACAGAGGAGTACCTGGAAACAAACATCAGATACTGCAACAACCCAGCAGGGCATGGAATGTATTCAACTTACATTTCTAAGGCCATAGGCTTCATTTTAAATTCCAGAATATAGAAACAAAAATTTTCTTTTGAACCAGTGGCTTCAAGAATGAAATGGCTGAAGACCATGATGAATACAAGGTAACAATTTAAAAATATATATATGTATCAATTTAGAAAAAGGTTGTAAGAAAGGGAAAATCTTTACACATAGTGAAATGCATAATCTGAATGTGAACTAAAATAATAAAAATAATAACATTTTGCATGAAAAATATAGCTTCACATAGGTCTCAGTACTTATTTCACAATCTTGTCACTTGAGGAGTACAGGTTTCCATGATTTGGAACTTAAATGTTTAATAATTTATTGAAGAAAAAAGGTGCCTCTCTCTATCTCTACAGGGAAATAATTACATTTCTGCTCAAGCCTACAAGTTGAACAGCAATAAATGTCAACTTTCAGAATTATTCTTCCACAATAAACATTTTGAAGCAGCCATATCCCAGAAGATTCTTGTAGATAACTACCACAGTTTGAGTATCCCTGTCATACATAATCCCTTTAGGTTAGTAAACAATTTATCCATTGGCTCCACATACAGGCCAAATCTCATGCAATTCTGGTTGCTTAAGAAATGAAAATTAATTTTATATAATGGTTTTGTTTCTCCTGTTTTAATTGGTAATTCTTTAGTTTGATGAAGCTGATAATTACATGCTCCTATGTAATTTATTACTAATTTGAAATACATTAAAACGTGTAAAAAGTTTATAACTGTCACGATAAATTGCACATTAGAAATACAATTTATTTGCAAATGCAGTCTGGAATAACTATAATACTTTTCCAAAAATCCAAGAAAATAAAGCTCCAGAATCTGGTTTATAAAGAAATGTATTAAACTGTTAGTTGATAAAATGCTAGCACTCTAAACTCTTGGTTAAAGCTTTTATACATCACTGAAATGGTAGAACTGAAGGAGCTGACTCAAACAGGATTGAGATATGTGTGATACCTGCACCCTGTTCTGTAGAGCCAAGTTCATCGATTCCAATACTTGCAAAGGTGTAGAGGACAGTCTTTAGCCTTAAACTTCTATGAAGTGTAAATAAATATCATAGTAGGTGATGATGAAGTCTGTGAACTTGCCTTAACCAAAGTTTTAGGTACACCCACTTAGAAGAACCTAAGTTTACAAATTAGTTTGCATGAGATGTGGAAATGGAATTAATTTTGGTTGTGCTCAAAATATTTTGAATTGGATGTTATCCTGTCAATTTGGGTTACATTTACTGTACGTGTCCGACGCCAAGTTTGTTAGTATTTCAAAGCCCTTAACACAGATTTCTGGGAATATGTACATCTAGATCGTAGGTGCTATTATGATATACTACTTTGTGAGATGCTAATAAAATAGTCACCTCAGAACTTCGAAACAAGTCCATTTGAACTTTGCCTTGTATCTCTAGTCCCAAGGCTATGCACACATATATAATAAATAATAAAGCATTCACAGTACACACACACACAGAGGTGTGAAAAGAGGAGAAATTCCTAATTGTCGACAGTAGGTCTTATTACATAGAATGGGTTTCTCATTTTGAGTTTCCACTCCATTGGCAATCAAGACAAAAATTCCTATATTGTCTATGATCAGCGGCTGGGGAGGAGAAAATGGAAGTCATTAACTGGGTTAGGAAGTTCTTGCACAGTACGGTGCAGAAATGCTCATGCACACGGCCGACACCGCACGTACCTGCATTAATTTCGCCAGGATAATCTTTGCCCGACAGATTTTGTACTGATCCAAGAAGAAATGAAACCTGACACACCTTCGTGAGGGAGACTGGTCTTGGTCTGCTTACCTTTGGGCCCGTCGGCGCCGTTGGGATTCGGAGCCGTCAGAACGGGTTTGTGTGCCCGTGAGCTCTTCTTGTTGGTTGGGGTCCTGGGCGCTGGCAGAGCAAAATTGGCACCGGTCTTCTTGCTGGCTGCAGTGCCACTTATGTTCTCCTTGTTTTCGGAGGCCTTAGAGTGAATTCTTTCTCTGTCAAAGGCTGGCCACTCCACATCACTGCTCTCCGTGTCCGAGGTGTACTTTGATCTCTTTAATAGAGAAGACGAAAAGACAAGGCTCAAGTCTGAAAGGCGACACACCCCTATTAAAATACTGTTGTTAGGCAAGACCAATACTTTTTCTGAGCGATGTTCCTTTCATCAGTCTAGCGTCCATGTACATAGATTCAACATTTACAAAGATGACTTCTGGTCGGCCGGGTGCTAGATAACTTTAGAAATGAATGCACCACAAGATTCTGAAGAAGAAGACAATAAAAGCTGACAGATCTGAACCATATCACAATTGGAAATTGTCCTCTAGAACAGGAGTTAAAATACAGAACACATATGATACCTTCTGAGGTGTAGGAGTGAGTGGGGCGTATGGAACATCATCAAAACCACATTCGTCGGCAAACTCCATGGATCCAAACACCAGAGGGATTTCAGCACCGTCTGAGTCATTGTAGAAGCCGAGCATTTTTTGGGACTGCAAAACATTGTCCTTCATGATCCAGTGTTAAGACGAACACATAAGAAATAAATTCTTTGTAATAAGTCCTTCTCCCACCAGATCTATCTGCGAATACTATTATGCCAATGCCCATTTCCTCCATTTCTAATCTAATTCTAAAGAAGCAGAACATTTAAGTTCTCACATATCCTACAGGTTACACAAAGTGTTGAAAGTCTTCAAGGATCCATCTTATTTCAAGAAAGAGGGCAAATTAACCTCAGCTTCAAAGCCGATAGTTGCATCCATGTGTTCTGAAAACCTTTTTGCCTTAAAAAGCTACCAGACTTCCTTCTCAGCTGAAGAAAAATAAACTAGCAGTGTTCCATACAAACAACTTTGTTCCATCTTTTCAATGGGTTGACTAGGTTTCTGATGGCAGCAGATCCTTATAAGTATCTTTGGCTAAGGATCATTTGTTTAACTATAAGCAAATGTGCTGCTGTCTGTTGCATGGAGTTGACATGAAGTACTTTCAAAACGGTGTCCTGCTCATGAAGAACATGCTGAGTTACCTTCAGACCTCCGACTGGCGTGCTGGGAGCCAGGTTTGCAGGCGAGAGCGTTCTCAGACGTACAGGCTTGCCCTGCTTCTTCTTAGCCAACAGCAGCAGGTACGTGGCAGTTGTTTGGTCATATTTCCACTACGAGCAGAGGAGAGCAAGGAAACGGGTTGGCCCCAATACAGACAGAAACGATGCGTGAAGTGCCAGAAAGGGCAACTACGGCTCAGTTCACAGACTTGGATCACTTTATACGCCACGTAGGTGCACTGGATTTTGTCATTGGCACCCAACAGTATCCTGTACTATAACTGCTGCCTACATAAAGACACCTTTTTACATTAACCAGGGCAGTATCAGCAATTAGATTTTCAAACACCACGGCTCGAAGTTCCATTTAAATAATCAGTGATTCCATATCAACAGATCAAAGCTTTTCAAAGCAGCACAGACTGGTCACTTTGAACATTTAAATGAAACAGGATGCTGCCATTTGCACGCGGTGATACATTTAGAGCTTGTCTGCAGAAATTCTCGTGTTAGACTGGTTGAATAGGGTGCCTTGAAGACATCAAATTGCTTCCCATTTGCTTTCTGTGCTGATAAAAAAAGAAAAAGCATATTGTGAATGCATTTTTTTTGGGCGGAAAGCATTTTACTTAAATTCTGGGACAAACTCTGCCCATATACTTTACATCTTAGATGTAAAATATTTTAGATACAGACGCCGGAAGCGTTAATATCAGAAAGCATGCACCCATGTCTTTTATTAATGCAAGTCAGCCTTGCAATTACTCTGATAAGAAAAAAAACAGCTAAAAAGGTATAAACTCAACAATATATCCTTTTTCACATCCCACCCCCTTCTGGAGAACGTGAAGTTTTGTATTGTCTGTGCCCTGCTGCCATCTAGTGGTTAGGATAAGAAACTGGGAGTGCTTATTTAATATAGGCTTATGCAACTCCACAGAGATAATAGTAAAATAAAACAAACTGCTGTAGTTTAACAGCTACAAACATAAGATAAAACAAACTGCTATAGAGGAAGAAAAGGAAACATTTTCCTCCCGTTATTGAAATTGAAAAAAAGTGTAATTCCCAGGTTGAGCAACATGTCACAAACTGGAACAAAGTACTCTATAGCCTGTTAACCTCCACTCTATAAAACTTCACATAGCTGGGTAAGGATCCAAAGAAAAAGAATGGACTTTTTTATTAGCGACATGGTTTAGCTTATTTAAAATAAATTTAAAAGGAAATATAAAACATATTACTTCAGATTTAAAAAGTACCCTTTACAAGGAGATTAAACTGACGGCTTAGTCCAGTTTGCTCCATCTCGGCACATACAGTAGAAAAGACAATTGAAAAAAAGATCAGTGTACAATTTAAATCAAGAGATGCTAAGACTGTACAATACACTAAGAACTATTTATTCTTTATACAGGATAGAATGGAAAAAATAGAATATTATCTAAAATGTCATAAGAAAATGTCAACCTAGTCAAGTTGTTGGAGTCGACTCACTGATTTCCTTCAAAAAATGGCTGGATGAGATCCTTGAATCAAATACGTACTAGCAACAAATGAGCTAGTGGCATTTCATTTTTATGTTATGAATATGATTAACTATTGGAGCTAGAGTTATAAGTAGAAATATTCTCCCTCCAGAGGCCTTTTAAAGTTTTTGGAAACAATTTTCAACAAGATCAGATTTTAAAAACCTTTCACCTGAAGCACAGCGAGCATGCATCACTTCTAATTTGGCTGCAACAAGGAATTAGATTAAATCAGACAAAGTCTAGGAATACCCCCCTACATTGTGAGAGCCAACGCTTCCAAATGCAAAGAAAGGGGTCTTGAAATGCTTACTTCCGAAACATGCTGAGTCATGCTTGGCCTTGATCGTTTGTAGTACACGGCCATCTCTGTAATGCAGTCCTCATCGATATGACCGAGCTGGGACAGAAAGAATTGAGCATTAGTGCTGGCTGGAACTTCAGGTCTTGCCAAGCCATGAGGATCGAGGTTTGTTGAATCAATAGCACTGAAACTAGTCTGATTCAGCCCCACAATCTTGACAAAGTAAAAGTGAAAATGAACAAACTCAAAACGTGGACAGTACAGTAGTGTTTTCCCATCCAAGTTAACTTTCACTTGGAAGCAAAACCAAGTGTATTTGATTTATTCATTAGACAATAGTTCAAAAATCACAAAGATACACATTGACATTGTTAAAATTGTTAGTCACATGGAAAACTTTCTTCAGATTCAAGAAAGCAAATTTTATAGAAGAAATGATCACATCGAATTTTCAAAAGTTGTTTAAGATGTGTTTAAGGAGTTTTGCAAATGAAACCATACAGTAAGCACAATCAAGCAAAAAAGTCTTCTAGGAGAGAGGTGTAGCTCTGAAGATGAAGAGACTCACTGGCTGTTTGCTGTGCCATTCTACTGGACTGGTGTAGCCCGACATCATCCAGGGGTGATTCAAAAGCTGCCTGACTGTGATGCGCCTCTTTGGGTCCACCTAGAGGACAAACAGGGAAACTGAGGTTTTTACTTCCAGCCAAGCACGAAAGAAAACGTTTTCTTTCTAAAGAACACTGGTCTGACAGGTGATCACCAACTTCTCAGAGACCTAAAGCAAACCAATACATAATTCTTTTGTTTTATGCTCAATACTATGATTTTTCTATAGAGCAACTTTGTTACAACACTATGCAAAACTGTATAGACAGGTTTTAATGATTAAAAATATAGAAGCTAAAAGGAAAGCAAAAAACATGACGGTAATTCTATACCAACTCCGTCATCTATAAAGTTCTAAAGATTAGCTGCATTTAATTCCCCATGAAATATCCATAATACATACCAAGGCAGTACAGCCTAATCTTAGAATATACATTACAATTGCTGCAATAAAATGGCTCTATTAAGCCTTATAAACTATAGATGGTTTGTGTTAAATAATAAAAATGTGCTAAACGTAAAGGACTTTCCAACAGAAGAGTAAAAAAAATAAAGCAATACAATAAACAACAGCATACAATAAAGTAATAAAGAAAAAGAGAGGAATTTCTTACAGCAGTGGCAGGTTTATTCCTACAGCAAATTCCTAAGAACTGCAGCACAGCTAGATGACTAAGCAGGACAAATACCCAGAGCCTCTGAAACACAAGCCAGATTACCTGCATCATCTGGTTGAGAAGCAGAACGCTGCCAGGAGAGAGCCAGCGGGGGTTGTCGTATTTTCCTCTCTGAAACGGCACAAACAGCAGACTTACGAACTAGAAAGTAATGGTATTTTTTCCCTTTTTGACAATGTGGCAGTTGAGACACTTTCATCCACCTGCAGAAAAATCGTCATGGAAACAGGTAGCGTGTATAATTGAGTGCTGCAGAAAGATCAACTATCACATTGTTACCGTGATAAAGCATGGTTGCAGTTTACCAAGAAAACTCAACTATATTTGTACTCAATTGTACTTCTTAAAATGACAATAGGGCCTTCACGTGGGTAACACCTTCAAAGACAACTGCACTGCCAGTTTATCTTGGCGGAAAACTACCACCAAGAAACAAGTCAAGTTCTTCTTAAAGAGAAAAATTTAAAGTTACAAAATAGCTACAAACTTAGCCTTGTTAGCAGAAGTGTGTCTAATTTATGCTGACACTGACAAAGCAAGGCATCTCATTTCATTCCTGAGTGAATTACCACACTGGTTTCAGACTGCTACTCAGTCCAGTGCTGCTATAGTCCAGTTTCACGCTTTAAGAAGAAGCAAAGGATCGAGAAAGCACAGCAAACTGCTCAAATTACTTTGTTCATTAGGAGAGAAAAGTCCATTATCTTATTACAGAGCCACGTATCAGTGTTCTCCTATGCATCATGAGGTCATCCTAACACACGAGCAATACCAGTCTGTAAGACTGCGACGTTAATTCAAGCGCAGGTATGATAGTGTTTATCTTGTCTAATTACCATAGCAAGCCATGACATAGGAATTGATTGCCGTTATTATGATAGTTAGGTTTTGTTGATTATCAATAAAAATTAAGGTAGTCTACCTGATCAAAGAAACCATGTTGAGTAAAAAGATTTTTAGTTACCACTTGATATTAACTCTGCTCTACTGAAACGGAGCTACATCTCCTCTCTGTGCCTTTTTCTATATGAACAATGGCAGGAGGCATATACTTGTCTGTTTTCCACTTTGAACTGAATTCTAGTGTTATAAAAGGGGGTGGGTTTAAAGAAGAGACAAAAATGTACTAGGAGTTCCCGGTTCTGGGCAACCTCTTATAGTGTGGAAGAAAAATACCTGAGATACACATGCAATACAAAGCTAGCTTAATTTACAAATGCTTGGTAGAGCATCCCAGAGAACTTGATGGGCGGGAACTCCAGTTTTGCCTTTGTGTGAAATAGAAGTCGCTTGCGCAAATTCGAGGGCTGAAGGACTCACTGTTATTTTCTTGTAGAGGACCATCATGTTGTCGTCATCAAAGGGTAGGTACCCGCACAGCAGGGCGAAGAGCAGCACTCCCATGCTCCACACATCAGCCTGGGACAGGGCACAGCCGTCACAATGGGCAGATATGGGCAGCCATATCACCCTGCAACTCACAACTGGCAGCCCACTGAGGCACTCAGCAGGTGGGAGCCTGACCAGTTCTGGATGGGAGACCTCCTGGGAAAAACTAAGGTTGCTGCTGGAAGAGGTGTTAGTGGGGCCAGCAGGGAGCGCTCACCCTGCGGTCCATGTGGGTCCTAATGCCCCAGTATAGTGACGGATGAGACGTAAAACCGAGGTCCTGACTCTCTGTGGTCATTAAAAATCCCAGGGCGCTTCTCGAAAAGAGTAGGGCTGTAACCCCGGTGTCCTGGCCAAATTTCCAATTGGCCCTTACCAATCATGGCTTAATAATCCCCCTCTATGAATTGGCTACATTACTCTGCTCTCCTCCCCACTGAGAGCTGATGTGTGGTGAGCGTTCTGGCGCACTGTGGCTGCCGTTGCATCATCCAGGTGGATGCTGCACATTGGTGGTGGTGGAGGGGAGTCCCCATTACCTGTAAAGCGCTTTGAGTGGAGTGTCCAGAAAAGCGCTATATAAGCGTAAGCAATTATTATTAATTATACCAGAACTACAGCCAGGGGGCACCGCTGTTTCACCAAACATCTCCCATATACACCTGGCTTAGCAAATGACATGGAGCCCCAACTGCGTATAGTGTAACATCACTAAAAGTCACTGTGTAGGTTTACACATGACCCTGAGCAAAAGGTTGAGCACAAGGTTCCCATACTTGTGCTGTGATCCTAATATCTTAACCTTGCTTATCTGCTTTCCTTCCATTGCAGTTCTGCAGAGTACAATGGCTGCGATCAAAACGAAGGAAATGCCAAACATGAAATGTCCAGAAACACGTCCATTTATTTAATCAGACTTTTTGGAATGATCAGTAGATTTCCATTACTGGCACTGCAAACCCAATAAAATGCATTGGGGGGAGCTCTGCTAAAGAACATTTCAGCCAACATAAGAACAATGTGCTCCGTGAAGTGAGCATGCAGCTAATTACGATGGCTAAAATATCTGAATGCACTGTATCTAATTGCCTAACGCAGGACACTGAAGGCAAACATACCCTCCATTTCAGTTTTTTTTTAAATATACAACACCTGTTGCAGTTTCGTCTTTTAATACTTGTTCTTCAGTGACATGGCCAGGAGTGCCCAGAATTTTGCCAGCCAGTGTCAAAACACAACGTGCAAAACTCTGACTCTGGGATTAAAAAAAAAAAAAAGAACTGACATGGAGCCTCAAAAATCGTGAGGAGTTTGTTACACGCGGTATCCAGAGCTGCACTGTAATATCTCAGAACAGACAGCTGGTGTTTTTCCAGCCCAGTGGGGCCCCTGCAAACTTCAAAGCGACTTGTGAGGAGTCCGCACCTCGGAGCCGATGTAAGCTTTGCCTTGGATCAGCTCTGGGGCGGCGTAGGCGGGGCTGCCACAGCAGGTCATCAGGTGATACTCCAGGCCGCCCTGCAGCAGGAAGTGAACCAGCGTTAGGTCTGGGGCGTAAAAGCAGACCCCAGGACATTTGGAAGGGGTGCAAAACAGGGATAACAAAGTTCTGTCAAGAACAGGGCTCTGTCAAAACTCTGCAGAACTTCCATTTTAGAGCAGGAAAGGAACAGGGAGCGTACTGGTCAGCGTGGCATTACCAAGCAAAAATAAAGATCAATTTTCCTAAAAAGGTCAAATGAAACCAGGGGACACATTTGTTAACATCTGTAGAGTGCAGGTGGAACAGGCGAAAACCCTAACCGTATCGCTATGATGCCAGACACATATTACATTTTACTCACATCTTGTAGTGCATACAAAAATAGGTCTGACTACACAAAAACAATTCCAAAGCCTGTGAATGATTTTACCTACTTTCAGTTCAGTCCAACCAAAGGATACCACCTCTGGAACAGCTGAGTAGTCGTTACAAAATGCACACGAGCGGAATAACATCTTTCCGAAATTAATGTAATAACCTGTACATAAATATGCAAATGATTTGTGTGCTCACACATATGCCAGTTAACGTACAGCACTGCATTTCTTTCTGGCAAATGCACACAATGGTCAAGACGTATTGTGAATCCTAATGCAAGACTGTAACCTGTTCAATCTAGAAGTTTTTTTGTGCAGCTAAAGAATGAGCAATGTGTTACATGAGTGTTATTAAAGTACTGCAGTTGGGTTAATTTTCAGGCAATTAATCCAGTGTATCTCAAATCTGAGCCAGTTAATAATCTGTCAGTTTTAAGAAATTTTGATGTTTAAATGATGATTAAATCAAAGATCATCCAAAAATCATTGTTTTAGTAATCAATTGATCTTTTAAATAAAGACAAAAAACCTAAAAGTAGTATTTTTAAGGATTTGTTTTAATTTAGGTGAAAATATTTATCTTTCTTTAAGGCAACCATCATTTTAACTTGCTTTATACACTTTAAAATGTTTTTGCAAACAGGTGTCCCTGTATACTGCAACATCATATTCATATAAAATAAGTTCAGCATTCTTTGTAAAGAAAACCTACCTTCGGCTTTGCACACAGACCAAAATCAATCAGCTTTAGATTCCGGTTTTCATCAATGAGCAAGTTTTCCTGTAGAGAGCAGAGAAAGAATGAAGATAAAGCAAAAAGCAGAGAAGATTAGTTTACAGAAGCTACGCCTAACCTGTGTTTTTAAACTGATAATCAGTTGTCCTGATTATCTCCTGATTACAGTGATGTATAAGGAGTGAAAGTTCAAGTGTCATGTCATTTCGTGGCTTTCTTACTGCTAAATTACATTTTAAATCCCTCTCTACTTGAAATAGAGATTCTGACTCTTCCGATAAAAGCAATTCCTGAAAAAAAAATTAGAAATAGCGTGCAGCTGAAGACTGGACTGGAGAGAATTCAGATATAAAGATGGAAAGGGGACAGAGTCATCCCTCTTCACAACCACTTTTCCCAATTCATATCCACTCCACGTCTCTCCTCCTGATGTACACTTGTCGACAGTCAACACTTCCACATTTTCTACTGCATTACGTATTGCATCATCATGAAGAAGGAGGACAGTAGTATAGAAAATACAGGACAAATTACAGTAATTACAGGACACAGCTGCACTGCCCGCCCCCCAAGCTTACTGGTTTAAGGTCCCTGTGTGCAAAGCCCTGGCTGTGAACATAGGCCATGGCCGATACAATCTGGCGGAAGAATATTCTGGTTTCGTCTTCAGACAAGCGATCCTTCGCGATGATGTAGTCAAAGAGCTCCCCTCCAGGACAGTACTGCGGCACAGGAAGGAACCGTTCTTAAACCATCACAGAAGATGAAATATAACTCTGCTTGCATAAACCATGGCTTGAGGCGAGTTAAAGAGTACTAGTATATTTAGGTAGAAAAAGCATATCAGTCAATATTAGGGAAATACAATACAATCTGAATATCAAAAGCAAGCTATCTAGGAGTTAAGTGAGGATGGCCTGTCTGTGTCATGTAGTTTCAGGTAGTGCTTTTTTAGTTGTCTGTCTTTTGTTTAAGTACTGCTGTAGCTAAAGACAAATCCTTGGGTCATGCACATACAAATCTGTCAGTTGAGATTTTCTTTGAACTGTAATCTTTTTAAAAATCATACTAGGAAGAAGCATTGAGGTCTGGTTTCAGAGGGTAACCAGTGCCCACCAAAGCCAAAATTCGTGGCAGCCGAGGTCTGTGAAACCACTGCTTAAGTAAAACACTTTACAAATGGCAATGTTACAGAACAAAGTAGATTTTTTTTACAACAACTGCCACTGGATATTCATAAACATCTGATATTATCACTCCCTTCAGTGTACTATTAGGATGAATGAATATTCTATCGTGCTGCACATGACAATTGTGGTATATCCAAGGATAGGTACTTCTTTGTAAATGGGGAAAAAAATGAGCTTGTCACCTCCAAGATCATGAATATCTTCTTTGTCGTCTCTATAACATGGTACAGGCGGCAGACATGCTGGTGACTGAGGTTCTTCATGGCCTCAATCTCAGTCTTCACTCGGGGCAAGTCATCCTACACACACAGCACCAGACAGACCAGCTTTTAGCACCTCAGCCATTTTTACGCAGATGCTGTGATAATGGCACAGTAGCTCAGAAATCTGAATTAACCTGAACTGTTTCAACTTGCATTCCAACAAAAGGAAACATAGAACATTTTATTTGAAGGTGTAAATAACCATGGGTCCTAAAATTATAAAAAATTAAGCCTGTTCAAATGACTGCTATAAATTTAACTGTGACATTTCAGGTGTTTTCTTGAGGACTAGACTATGCTCCTGCTATTCAGTAGTTACAAGCATTCAGCAGCAATGGAAGTAAGGCTCCAGTTCCATAGCAGCGAAAGCCATGTCGGGTTTTCAGAGCTGAAGGGATTTGTACAAAATAATACAAAACAGTGACACTTTGGCTAAGGATCTACGCCTGTGCCTGGAAGGTTGCCGGTTCAAATCCCGTAGCCGGCAGAGAAATCCTACTCTGTTGGGCCCTTGAGCAAGGCCCTTAAGCCCAGCTGCTCCAGGGGCACCGTATAAATGGCTGACCCTGTGCTCTGACCCCCAGCTTCTCTCTCCCCGTCTGTGTGCCTGGAGAGCGAGCTGGGGTATGTGAAAAGACAAATTCCTAATGCAAGAAATTGTATGTGGCCAACAAAGTGATCCTATTTTATCTTATTTAAATCAGGAACGGTTCAAAATCACTATGCAAGTGGAGTCTTTTTGCCATCCTCAACACAGGTAACATGTTTTCAACAAAACAATATGCCTTAAAAGTTGTAAGGGAGGAAAGTCCATGGGGGAGACATTCAGTGTCACACTGCTGAGCTTTACCCACAGGCATAAAGCCTTGGTTGAGCACTAATTGGCATCTCCTGGATATGTTTCAGAACCTGTTGTGGCTGGATATACAGACTTATTTACAGAAGGAACAGGGGATCAAATATACTACACCTAAGATGTTAACAAGGACATACAGCTGTAGTGTAAACTAATCCTTTAGCTGCTTTGAAATAATTTATTCTTCAATGCCTAATAACACACAGAAAACAGCAAAATCAAAGAACATCAAAATCCTTATACACTCCATACAAACCCTAAGGGAACAGATCCGCCCAAGTTTTCATTGCACACAATCTTGGATGGCTGCAGATATCTTTGCTGATTATTAGTGGAAGAAAAGAATCACAATACATCTTTGCAACAACAAAAGATCTAAGTTTGCTTCTGGCAGTTTTGGATCCTTATGTAAAATATTCTCAAACGTTTTAAAAGACATCTTCTAATTCCAGGTGTGCCGTCATTGTTTGCTGGCAGAAAATTGAATTCTGACATCTCCCAATGTAGTGCAAAAGTAAAAAAAAGTGCTTAAAATGTATTTCTGTGCTGCTCAATAAAAACAGAGCAAAAACAATCTAAATGGTGACACAAATGTTTACAACATACAGCATGTGATCCATTCAGATCCACCATCATAGTAAAAAACACCCTCCGTATGGACGTCAATGTACAGTGCCAAAAGTCTGAGAACCCCCTACTGATTCTGGAGACCTAAAACACAATTAGATCTTCAGAAAATAAAAAATAAGATGGGGGAGAGGCATTCAACCCGTCTTGGTGCTTTGGAAGTTTAGTAGCTAAATTAATCTAAAATTACACCCAGCTGTTTCTTTAAGGAGCCCAGAGTCTGGGCATCAACCAACTCCCTCCGAAGGAAATCCAGTGACCCACAACTCTTTATTATCCCCTGGGGGGAATTTGTTGTACAGAAGACTCCAGCAGTCAAACAAGACAATGAAAACAATCACCAACAAATGATACAGTACAGCAGAGTAAAGGAGTGTTTCCTACTCCCCGTCCTAAATGAATTTAGTTTCCAATTGTGACTCAGTGTGCTTGTTTCACAACTGAGAGGGATTGTGAATTCCTGCATCACATCTCTCCTCACTCTCCTCTGATCTAGACTGAACCCTCAACCCATCCGCTTAAGACAGTCCCTTGAGACCAGGAATCATGTTTGGTGTTCTTTGAAATCTTCTGTTATGTATTTACAGTGGTAGGGTGACCAAAACTGAACACAATAGTCAAGATGAGGTCTAACTAGTCCATGGTACAGCTTAACCATAATTTCCCTTAATTTAAATTCCATACTTTTTGCCCAAGCTCTCTGCTAGCCTTTTTATTGTTTCTCTACAAAGTCTTGATGAGGACATAGAAGAATCTACAGTGCAACACCTAGATCTCTTTTGTATGCAAGGTTCTGCGGTTCAGAAGCACACATTCAATATGTATAGTATACAGTGTGTTTCCACTGCCAGTATGGAACACTTTGCAATTATCAGTTTTGAAAGCCATTTGTCTAGTGTCAGCCCAGTGCATGGTTTTATCCAAGTCTGTTTGCAGCTCAACTGCTGCTGTTTTCTTTGTCTCTCCACCTATTGTAGTTTCATGAGCAAAATGGACTAGTAATTTACCTAGGATTCCTGTGACTTTCAATTTTAGAATCAATCTTTTAAGAGGGACCCTATTACACACTGGACCCTAGAAATCTAAACATATCATGTAATTTGCATTATCCATTATCCTTGTTGAAGGAATTAACTTGCTCAAATTAATTGCTTTTCCAGGCCCTTAATTACCAGGTCTTCTTCTAATTGAGATCCATTTCCAAAGCTTTACCAGCAAGAAAAGAAAGACTGATTGGTCTATACAAACTGATTCAGTTTTGCCCCCATTGTTGTGGATTGGCGTAACATCCACCGTCAAATAGATGTCTCCCCCTCTCATATCAGATTCTAAAAATTCTGGCCCATTCTCCCTTAAATAACCACTTGAAGTCAATGAGAGGTTTCCTTGCATGTACAGCTCATTTCAGATCCTGCCTTAACATTCCAACAGGGTTTCGGTCTCAGCTTTGACTTGGCCAATTCAAAATGTGAAATGTTTTCTTTAGCTGTTCTACTGTAGATCCACTTGTATGTTTAGGATCATTGTCTTGCTACATGATCCACTGTCAGCTCAGCTCCAGCTGATGAGCGGGCGGCCTCACTTTCACCTCCAGAATTTGCTGACCCAACACTGAATTCATGGTTCACTCAATGATGGCAAGCCCTCTAGGTCATGAGACGACAAAGCAAATTCTTCCAGTAGTCCTGTGGGTCTTTCAGGTGCTTGTTGGCAAAGTTCAAACAGCGAGAAATGTTCATTTTAGCAGTGGTAAAAACTTGAATTCACTAATTATATTTGGGGTTTACACACGTTCTCAGCACTGAGAGTCTAAGGATTTCAAGAGTTCAGGCGATTGAAGAGCATTTTCAAAGAGCAAATATTAAAAGCAACTTCATATTTAGGGAAGAATACAGTTTAACTATGTCAGCTGCATTACAGAATGATCCTCTCCCATCCCCTACTGGAATCACCAGGGACTGGTAACATTCCACACAATCGTGCATCCTTTTTAAAACCATTTTGCTGAAGATAAAATATCACAGTGGAGGGGGTAGGTTCCGTGCCTTTTATGTTTATTTTTTCCTGCCAGCAACAACCAATGTAACCTCACACATGTCCACTAATTCCTCCAACCACAAACGTTTTCACAAACCTGGAGAACGACTAATTAAAGCATCTCAGACCCATCTATCCCCGATCAGAAACCACATATTAACGGTAAGGGTTGTGGCAACTCAAAGCCTATCCTGGAAGCACAAGTCGTAAGGTGTGACTATTGCCTGGATGGGACACCGGTCCATCGCTGGGACACATATACAGACAATTTAGAAATGCCCATCAACCTAGCCAGTAGGTCTTTGGGAGAAGAGAGAGATAGGATAGATAGGATAGATAAGACTTTATTGATCCTGAAGGGAAATTGATGTGTTAAAGCAGTCCAGCCCAAGATGAGCAAAAACAGACATCAGAATAGACTAAAAATTATACAAAATAAATCTTAAATACATAAATAAAAATAAATACATACATAATCTCGCCCTAGTGAAAGCCCACACAAACATGGACAGAGCATGCACAACCCAAACAAGGTGCCGCAGTTCGGGATCGAACTGAAGCTAACATACATAACATACAAAACACTGTACGGCTTATACACTAAACACTCCATTCAAACAATACTCAAAACAAATGTAGGCTGGTCATAGATTTTCTCCAACAGAGTGTGGACCAATTTAACTCAATTAATTCAATGGAGGCGAGAGACCTACCCCAAGTTCCTTCTTGTCCATTATTTTTATTGCAACCTTCTCCCCTGTCAGAATGTGTCGGCCAAGCTTCACTTTGGCAAATCCACCTGTTTCAATCAGTAAGGAGATGAAAACAAAATTGAAAACGGTGAGACCCTGCCTGTCCACATCCCCCACCCCAACACAGACAAATACCTCACATTCTATCTCTAATTATATTTTAAAAAATGGTCCAACCTGATGAGTCAAGTCAAAGACATTGAAGTCTGTACTCCAAACAGCAAACTGCGGTCAAATTATGGTGAACATTTGTGCAAAAAAAAGCCTTAGCAGTGGTGTTTTAGCTCAGAAGCAACGTTTCAAACCATACTCCATACAACTATAACAGCAAGCATTGTCTCTGCGCTAAATTTAAAAGCATAACTTTTGCCTTAATGAATGAATACTAAACCAGAATTATCAGCACTACTTCAATCTTTAATTAATGCATTTAAATAGAGTAAAGATATCACTATCTATTACTTAAATATTTTTTTCTTATTGAAGGTATCATGTCATTCTCATGGAATTACAAGTTGAAGGCCCTCGTATCTATGGTGCCCTAAGTCTTTCAACACCTTAAAACTTGTCCCTATATACGGCAACACAGAGGCAGTAGAGGTAGCCAAGCACTCGTGCAATTAGAAAATTAAATTGAGGAGAAAACTGAATTGGAGTGAAACACAAAAAAATGCAATATGAATTGGAGAAAATTTTGAGGAAACAGCAGGGATGAAACATTAAATGGAATTATAATGCGTTTTCTTGCCCAGGTGCTCTTGCACATAGAGATAACTGCTTTTCAAGTCTGGTAGAGGGAGCATACATAATTCCTAGGATTTTACAGAGGAATAAACAACAAGCAGCAAGAATCTTGTTTCTTAACTGGACAGAGCTGAGCCACCCAAGCTCAGTAAGAAAAAAAGCTACCGATTTAAACCATCACAAAGAAATATCTTGTGTTTTGGTACCACAAATATCAATCAACTCATCATTGCTACCTTAATCTTATAACTATTTTCTTCACATATTTAGTCTTTCAGTTTTTCTAAATTTGATGTTATACACAGAAATTATGGCTGGGCCACACCGAAGCCCTACCTGTGCCAATGGTCTCATACAGCTCATAGTATTTGAGCAGCTCTGCTGAACTGTCGGCAGACATCCTTCTGGAAAGACTTGACTCCGGAAATATTAGAAACTGAAACACAAGCAACAATTTAAATTATTTAAACATACAGGATGGTAGTAGAAAAGGAACTGTCAATACTAACATAATCGATTCAGGAAGCCATTAACTCCCACAACATGTACAAAAAGTTAACCAGCATATGGCATATTCATCAGTTGGACAATTATGTTGTCGCAAAAAACACCAATGTAAGGATCTTAAGGAAGCTGAAATAACAAATATATTCTGAGATCAATTACTCATTGTATACTACAAAAATCTAAAACAACAAAATAGCATAAAAATAGTGTTGAATAGGATTTAAAGCCATGTTGTCAAGTACAGAAAAAACAATCTAAAAAAAAGAACAAAACCTCACAATTTAATTCACTCTCTTACATTGTAATCAAACAAGGTTCCTAACCTAATAACCTCTTTCACACACCTTTCACTGGTGCTTGTAATGAGCTGAACTAACGCAGATCTGCCAATAAAAAAACCAGTTTAAGCAAAATGAGCCCTGGATCTTTTATGTTATACACATTTCTTAAAGAAAATAATGTAAAAGGTAAGCAAGGTATCATATTCGATACTCTGGGGTGGTGGTGCTGCTCGACACTGTAAATTTAAACTCTCTTACAAAGCCATATTTATTTCAATGAACGCTTGTACTTTATCCTTCTACAGTGTGCGTGCTTCTATCTTGCCTGCTACTGTAAACCAGCTTATAAGTCAGGTTTAGCATAAATCGCTTCTTAATAAACCATTATGACTTGGATGCTGCGTGCTTCCGTTGTGTAACTTTGTAAGTCTGCACTTTGTCAAAATGGAAAACCCAAGCCTCACATTTCTGTTATCCTGCTGTCTGACAAAAGACCAGACGGATCTGCTTAGGCTCAGATAAGATGACGACGGGCTCCAGGGTGAGACATGAAGGTAAGTCAGTGAGGTATAAGAGCAAACCCATGGTAGTCTCCCAAACACGAACAAAAAAATACCTTCGCCCCCACATGAACAATAAAATGGCAGAACGAGGTCACGAGGTGGCAGCCCAACCACAGAAATGGAATAAGCGATACTGGAATAAGAGCCCGTCACTAAAATATGTATTTGGTCTCTCGTTTTCAACTTAAATCAGGATCTAGACTACGATGATAACACCGTATATCAAGACAAACATTTTAAATCATAACACTAAAAATCACAGCTCTTCCATGCAATTATAGCGATATGCGAAAAGTGCTCAGCGCGACTTTGTATGTGGTCAAACAACTGAAAATCTGAATATGTCGCTAGGGCTGTCATTAAAAGCAGACGTAAGGACTAGTAACTTGTGGAATCCGATTACTTCTGTATTTATAAACTGACTGAATTTGCGTTTAAATAACTTTATTCTAAACCAATTGGGTGTCGTGTTACCCCCCTCCCACTGCTTTCATAGGACTGAACACGCAACGAACATAAGTTACAACAAAACAATTAAAAAACAAAGAAATATAAGTAGCCAATTCAACTGACCTCGGTTTCTCAGATCGCCGTTTTAAGTATAACACTCGGATGCTGACAATGATGTTTCAGTCCAATTACTTTGTTTCCATTTGTGCAGAAATACATTAACCAGCACAGGTCAAACGAAAAGCAAAAGATATAATGTCCCCAAAGCCGCTTCACTTACAATTACCTTTCTGCCTCAAGCACATATATATATTGTTAATAACTTTTTCACAATAACTACAGCTCGTATTTTTACTGCTGAACACAAACGAGGGACGTTGTTTTCTTGATCAGAAATACAGTGAAAGTTTGAATTTCCCTCAAGATGACGTACTTCCGTTTTCCGGACTCTATGGTCCAATTAAAAAGCCTTTCATAGGGAGCTGGCTCAGTTCAGTATCCTTGCGCTCTCTGGGTACGATTTGTAGCTACAGGAATTCCTCTAGTTAAAACTAAAGCACAATAAAAGTTTCTGTAATCTTTTTTTTTCATAGAGTTTTGTTAGTAACTGTAAACAAAAACACGTAATTATATTAATCTCTGAATATAATGGAATTTCTGATAAAAGGTGGGCAACGCTGTTATTTTTTTTAAGCAATAGCGATATTTTATAATAGTGATTTTGTATAAATGCATATTAAATCAGTGTTGATAACAATTTTCTCTCTCAATTCAAAGCCAAACTTCGAGTTCTGTCATTTAGGTCCTAACTAAACAATATCAAAAGATAGATTTACAAGAAAATTAACACTAAAACAACTTAAAAAGATTTACTAATTAAATGAAACATTATCCTGTGTCCATATTGTGATACACCTTTAATAACAGAAAAAGAGTCTATCAGAGCTTATACTGTCAACTTTATAAAAGATAATAATTAATCTTAATTAGAGAAGAAGAATAATATCGCATTAAAGCCAGTTAATAATGTTGGCAAATAAAGTACTGCAAAGGAATAAGTAAAGGTTTATTCCTTGCTAAAAAGAGAAGAAAAGAAACACACCCGAAGAAGGCTCCACAGCTGAAACGTTGTGTTTCTTTTTCAGCACAGAATACACCCTTACGTGTTTGCCTCTGCATACTGACGCAGCTACCTTCTTGAACTTCTTGAATAAAGTACTGCCAACTTGTAGACTAATCTCTGGAATCTCAGAAACTAAGCAAGGCTATGCTTGGTCAGAGCTGGGATGGCTGAACTTCGGGGAAAATTAGGTTGCTATCATAAATTGTGCTGCTTGACTAATAAGTGGCATTCTTCCATATGGAGAGGGATCGCTAGCTATGCCCCTGTAATGATAACTCAAGATACTATATGCTGTAGGAGAGCTATCCTTTAGTTGAGATGTTAAAACAAGGTGCTGGGTACTTGACACTGCTCTTAGGTGGAGTGGCATTAGCCCCAGTTTCCTGACCCCTGGGCTCACACAGTCTGAAATACTCAAAGTTCCACCTTAAGTCAGTAGGCTTGATAGTTACTGAAAACAGCTATTAAAATGGATGCCTTGATGCAAAGTAAATTGAAACTATTCTCCCTAGGTAAAAAATGGAATCCCAGTAAAAATTGTATATTCACGGACTTCTGCACCTTGAAATGTATCGTGAGTCTTTTTATATGACTGATTTTCATGAAATACCAACTATTGGTAGTTCTGTTTAAGTAGTCAAGTCCAGGCTGTTGTTGAAATAACAATGTAGTCCGAAAACCACATTATTATGCTAATATGTTATGATTGTAAGTTGTCCCCATTCAGCTACTGTACCTGATCACTAGATTGTGTTGAAATCATCAACTAAATATGTAGGCCATATCGCACAGTAATAAACTTGTCATTTGTTGTTCCCTACAAAAGATCCAAATCACATTTAGGATACTAAGCTTTAGATCACAAAGGACCTGAACTTGCAACCTAAGCATTTTTTTAATACACAAGCTTGCCTTTAATCTTTTTTTTTTTCTGGAGAGAACCCTTTTGAAGCCTAAATTCTATTCCCCCGTTTGAACATCAAATGCACTGTTCAGAAAAAAAAAATACTTGAAAAAAGTAAACAGGGAAGGTGAGTTCTGTCTGAAGGTCCTGCACAGGAGACCTGTTTTGTGACTCTTTGGCAGAAGTTGAATGGTAGATTGTATTTCAGCAGCTGCTTGCAGTGCATGTGTCTAAGTAGCTTCAGTAACACAAAGCAGGCCGCAGCTGTTTAAAAGTTAAAATCCTAAATCATCATTTCTTGATTCCTTTTTAGCATGAAAGCTCTAATCTGCACAGCCTCGCAAATAGCTCCAACGCACTGTTACTGTAACTGAAGCAAGGGAATTACAGAAATAAACCATCTGGTTACAGCCTCATTAGCTTAATCTGCCTTCATGTCCACTCCTTTTTCTCCGAGTATTTCAGGCTAATACATGGTTTTAGGGTAATCTTTACTGCCCTTGCCAGCGATAGGCTTAATCTGCCCCCCGCCCACAAAATGTCAAAAACTTAAGAACAGTTACAAGTGAGAGGAGTCCATTCGATCCAACAGGTTAGTCTGATAGTCAGCAGTCAGTGGATCTGAAGGTCTCACCCAGCCATTCCTTGAAAGAGGCCAGGGCATCGGCTTTGAGAACATGGTGGAGAAGCTCCCTCCACAACTCTTTGAGTACAGAAGTGCCCCCCGTTCTTGGTTTTCAATGCATTTCCACCTCATTTCCTCCTGTGCCTTTTGGTTTGTGCCTCACTGTCCATGCAGAAGAACTACAGGGCTGTCTTCCTCAATGTCTTTATGGATTTTGAAAACTGGTGATTGTACAGCTGACTGCAATACAATGAGGATAAGCAAGAGACTGAAGAGACAGTGTGAATATTTCTTCACTGTCCGAATATAGTTGAATAGAATAATAGTATTCATCATTCCTGATTGACGATGGTTTTGTTTGCATCTGAAATGATTGTACGAAACATGTCAAAACCCTATGTTTATCTATATGCTTATGCATACAGTTAATAAATTAAAACATTGGTCTGCTTCCTTCAATTAGCAGTTATTCCACTGTACATATGTACATACAGTTATCAAAGACGTTCAGGTTCAAAATATTTTTTCTTTTCTCCCAAAGCATGTAAAATTCATCTCTTATTACAAGATATCCAGAAAGCGAGTCAAACAGTAAGGCTTGGGTCAACTAACAGAAGCAATAATTTGTTATTAACACATATTTAGAATGATATGTGGCTTTCTTTCATCCATCGTACATACTGTATTTTATAACGATAAATGTTAGTCCTACAGTACTTTCTGTAGTCATACGGTAATATTTTCGAGAGAATCATGTAAAAAAAATTTGATATAACAAAAACTTTCATATATTGCGACACATTTTTATATATGGATATATTAATATAGGTAAAGGATGTAAGATACAGTATATAGCAAATAGGCTGCATGTGTCTTAAAGAAGCATTTCAGTCTGTTATTTTATTGTACATTTTGTTCAGTTCACTTTAATATCTTTTTGAAAACGCAGCCCAAAACCGTATCGGGGGAGTGTACTACCATGCTTGAGACCATGCGTCCTTCTTAGCATTTAAAGCTGCCTTTTCACATGTCTGTAACTGTTGGTTTTCTTTTCCTCATTAGCTTTTAGATCTGTAACAATGTTGTCCGCTTAATTCCGATTTGCATTTGACCGTGTTAACGCCGGCGCGCCTCTGTACCTGTATAACCCTCATGAATATCAAATTAGCCCGTGTTAGAATAAAACGAATGACAATTCCATATTGTTCCTATTTAGAAATTGGGCGAGCGGCAATCTGCAGCAAAACCACTGCCTGCGTCAATCCCCCCCCCTAATTATGAATTTATGCTGGAGTTGAAACAGATGTAAATTAGAGGGCCCGGCTGTCGGAGTTGTGTCACATGACAGCTCAAGGGGTGTTCAAAGAGCGAGTGCCACCGCTCTTCCCTTTGTGAGGTGCGCTCTTTTCTCTCTTCCCTTCACCGTGGCCCTGGCAGCCGATCCGAACCACTGGACGGCACGGTGCTGTCCGTTTCCTTTCCATTCCCACACAGACGGGGGACGGCGAGCCGAGCCGAGCCCCACTGGCAGGTCTGCCTGCTCTCCCTGCCTCGCAGCGTTCAGCAGGAAAGGAGCCGGTGATCAAAGACCAGGTTGGGTTTGATGAGGGTAGCTGGTAGGGATCCTTCTGCATTTCAAATGTGAAACTGGTAATGTTCCACCCCCTCTTTCTCTCTCTCTCCTTCCCCACCCCCACTCTTTTGCCTTCATCAAGGCGAAACCTATTTGCATATCCTCTCCTCATCAACCTTATGCTATCCAGGGAGCAAACAGATTCTTCTGACAGGGCATAGCAATTGGCTTTCAGGCAGATTTACATTCAAAGATAAAGTGTCAGTTTTGGAGGGCCAAATTTACAGCGAATTGGAAAAGCAATTTGACATGCCTTGCAGTTCCTCTGTGATACTTAT